AGGGAAAGAAATTATACCTAAACTGGTATAAGTGGTTGGAAACCGGTTCAAATTGGTAACACAACAGAAGTTCAGTGCACATAAATTGATTGCAAACTTGCCAAAACCCTTTTAACATTTTAAAAGGGAGCCATTGTTACAGAGGAGGAAAGAGAGTAAAGAAAACTTACCAGCATGTTGCAGGACCTCCTGGCGAGATGATGTCATTTTGCCGATGCCAGGAGCATCCATGGTATCAGATCATGAGCTCCTATAAGAGGAGCTGGACTTGATTAGTAAGTTCCCTGGAAAGGGGGAGGAGCCAGAGCCAAGAGGAAGTTGCAGCGATGGCACCATTTTCCATGCAGAGGCACGGGAGCAGAGCGGGCAGCGTGCCCGACGGAAAACAGAAGTCAGGTAGCCTGTTGCGCTGAGAGTGAAGCTCACTGAAAACTCAGCGGGACCAGGTCCCCATGATTAATTATTGACTTTGTCACTAGATACTGAGAATGGACATTTTTTGTGAACTGATTACATTACCTTGCCAGGCTGGAAGCTGGGTCTCTCCAGACAGAGAGAGAGAGAGCAAAACAGGGTGGGGGGGAGGGAAAGGACACACAGTGAATGCTGGGTAAGACCCTCCCCCAGAAGTTTGCTTCAACGCATAAGGGTGAGTTTGCCGGCATAAGGGTGAGTTTGCCGGCTCCCCCAGATACAGTAGCATCAAGTACAGAGAGAGCATCACTGTGGGTGTTAGTTAAAATCAGAAGCCACCCACCTGCGAGTACTAACTTTAAGTCCCATCAAGTTGTGGCAGGAGAGAACAAAAGCAAAGGGTGCGAAGCCTCTTCCAAAATGCGCTGTTTTTATAAACCTGGATGGATGCAGTATCAGATTTAATGGATTTAGGTTAAAGCGGTTTATTGAACATCTGCCCCAGATCCCCTCCAGATTCAAGTTAACTCATAGTCCCCCAGCATCCCAGGATGCTTTGTACCTGCCCTGCAACCCCCCACCCTCCTCCACAGGGTGGGTGGGCTAGCCTTTGCCCAAAATGTTTGTTCCAGCTGAGCAGAAAGGCATGCTCTAGCACCCCTCGGCTTCTGGCCTGAGCCACTGCAGGTATGTGGCTACATTTCTAGAATCAAAAGTGAATGTCTGTTTACTTGCTTATTGGTTCAATCTATGCAGCTTAGACTAACCTGCAAAGATTGAATTGATTCAGCCTCAGGCTCTTTGACTGTCTGAACTCAACCCAGATGGGCCCAAGACATGGGCAAGCGGCCACTGACACTTGTAGCCTTCATCTCCTACCACCTGTCTAAGAAGAGTCTCTTTGTGGAGACTCTTTGTGGGGGCCACAAAAGCAGTGGATGTAGGTGTCGCTGTGGATGTAGTCTTTCTGGACTTCAGCAAGGCCTTTAACATTGTCGACCACCCCATCCTCATTAAGAAACTAGGCGACTGTGGCATTGATGCCTACACTGTCAGATGGATTGCAAATTGGCTGAAGAGTCGTACTAACAGGGTGATGGTGGATGGGTCATATTTGACCTGGGGGGAAGTGGGCAGCGGAGTCCCCCAGGGCTCGGTCCTTGGGCCCGCTCTGTTCAACTTCTTTATCAGCAATTTGGACGACGGGGTGAAAAGTAACCTGTTTAAATTTGCTGATGATACCAAAATTTGGGGTGAGGTGGTCACACTAGTAGGGAGGGAAAGACTGCAGCAAGACCTGGATAGGTTGCAGGGGTGGGCTAACAAAAACAGGATGCGTTTCAATAC